ATATCAGCCAAAGCTATTCAGGAAGATTTGGGAGGAAGATCAAGTGGCACCGACACACTGGAAAGAAGGACAGCTCATCAAGATAACAAAGAAAGCAGATCTGAGTAAATGTGAAAACTACATAGGCATGAGATTACTGTCAGTACGAAGAAACGTTTTCAACAGAGTTGCTCAACTGGATGAATGACTCAGTAGACGTCCAACTTTGAGACTAAGAGGCTGGATTCCGTAAAGATCGGTCGTGAACAGACCAAATCGTGATACAACGGACCACCAGTTGAATGGAACTGGTCATTATTCATCAACATAATTGACTATGAGATGGCGTTCGACACACAAGGCTGCGTACTCCCACTCTTGCTTTTTCTTCTGGTTCTCGACTGGATTATGAGGACTTCAGTACCTGAGAAGAACAGGATACAATAAACAGGTTGGATGCAACTAGACGATCAGGACTTAGCAGATGATCTGACCCTTCTATCCCATGCACACCAACAAGTGCAGGTCAAGACAAACAATGTAGCAGCAGCCTTTTCAGCAATAGACCTCAAAATGTACAAACGGAAAAGCAAGATCCTCAAATACAACACAGATAACACCAACCCAATCACACTTGATGGAGAAGCTCTGGAAAATGTGGAATTTTCCAAGTACCAAAGCGGCATCATCGACGAACAAGAAGGATCTGATGCAGAAGTAAAGGTGAAGATTAGCAAAGCAAGTGCTGCATTCCTGCAATTGTAGAACATATGGAGCTCAAAACAACTGTCACCCAATATCAAAGTCAGAATCTTCAATACGAATATCAAGACAGTTCTACTGTACGGAGCTGAAACGTGTAGAACTACTACAACCATCATCAAGAATGTACAAATACAAGTAAGATACTGAATGTCCATTAGCCGGATACCATGAACAACAGTTTACTGTGGGAGATAACAAACCAACTTCCGGATGAAGGGGAAATTAGGAAAAGACGTTGGAAGTGTATAGGACACATATTGAAAGAATCACCAAACTGCACCACGAGGCAAGCGCTAACTTGAAACCCTGAATAGAAACGGAAGAAAGGAAGACCGAAGAACAGAGTGTGTCAGGAATCGGAAGCACACATGAAAAGGATGAATAACAACTGGAAAGAACTGGAAAGAATTGCCGTGGACAGGGTTGAATGGAGAGTTATTGTGGGTGGCCTATGCTCTTCTGTGAAGGGTAACAGGCATTAGTAAGTAAGTAATATATACGATCGTACAGTTTGGGCAAATAATGTTATCTAAAAGAAAATTGCTTCAGTGAATCGTTATTATTTGTTATCAACAATTATCTATTTTCTTTCATCATTTTTTCCACTGATTGATTAACTAGCCGACATACAATTCATTTGTTAATTATGGCTAAACTAAATTAAACAAAATAATGTGGAATCACTTATAGTTAGTTTGAAGAAATTCAACTATCATTAATTATCAAACGACATAAAATTAATAACAACGTTATTATTTATAATTACATACTACTTTTTTTGTTTAAAAAATAACAATTTAGTAATCTACCGGTTAAATATGATGGAATAACATTCTGTGAAATATATTTTATGGAATAATTACACTTACTCTATTAATGTAAATGATTTTGTTCTACACAACATAATAACATGTTATTCAACTAATATTCACCGAAATCAGATAGTTTTTTTTAAAAATCTCTTTTTAAATGATTGAGTCGATTGAAGCTAGGCTACGATGGAAAACCTGGAAGCATTGGACGGTCGTCTCATCCTATTACGGGACTCCACAGCAGTGCGCATCCACGATCCTGCCTTGCGCGATTCCAACCTGGGACATATTAGGCTCGCGCGCAAGCGCTTAACCACTAAACCACTGAGTTGGCCGGCATCCAACGGCGTTAATGTCTAACTTCAACCAATCCATGAAATTGAGCGACACATCCAGCATTGTCTTCAGTGAGTTACAATCTCATAACAGACCTGGTTGAACTCTTTTGATTTAACTTATTCTTCTGAATAATTTCATTAACTATTTGTTCAAATAGTGAATCTGATACAACAAGTTTAATGAATTACATTGATGTATGTGTATTTTAGGTAGGATAGATTAAAATGATTCATATTTACGTTAAATAAAAACAATAAAATCGATATATTTCCTATCTGTAACAACAAAATATGTTTGGACATGAAAAAACATTATGAATAATTATCTTATTTCATATGTAGTAAACTAAAAAACAATCATACAAACAAAACATTCTGGTTAAAATAAAGTACATTCAACAGACATTAAATATTGATCTCCTCATATTTATATGTTGTGAAGTTAGGAATCTCTGGAAATTATCGTCATTAATAGTTTATCATCTTTTTATGATATTTTGGTGTTAATCACTCGCTTGAGAAACAAATATTTTAATAGCTGAGATCATGAGTCAGTTAACGCTAGACCATGAAAAACCTGGACGCAATGAACGGTCGATTCGTCCTGTTATGGGACTCCTCAGCAGTGTGCATTTACGATCCTAACTCGCGAGATTCGATTTTCTTCATGATTTTCTCTTACTTGGCATTTGGTGAAGATTCTTCCATGTGTCTTATCCATTGTAAAACTTGTCTGTCGACAGAGACATTCGTTTACTTGGTTGATCTGTGGAAATATTTTAGGCAGAACTAAGATAACTATTGAAGACTAGTGATTATTAGAGTTTTTGTTATAGTTTTTGGTACTCCATGGCAGCACCTACCTAGGAATAAACAGTATTCCAGTGCTTCCTAGCTTTCAGTTCTGGTTTCCCCAAGATCAGTACATAATTTATACTATGGAAATTTCACAATCTTCATGAAACACTTCACCGATAATAAACGTATCGTCACTAGTAACTAGTTTCAAGGTGCGATTCACACAACGCTAGCTAGCTTTGATCAGTCAAGTTCAACTATTCTGGGTGTCAGAGAACAAAAAATAATCATACAATACCGTGAATTGACTGAAGTTAAATATATATGACTGGATGGTAGCGCAGGGCTCTAGGGGGCAAACGTTCATAAGTAAGAAAGAATGTTTTTGGTTCGACATCCAGTGGCGAGGTCATGGATGCATAGCTATCCAAAGCTTTAGAATTTTCAACTGTGATATAGCTATGAATTAATTGTGATTTCAAATAGAACTTTCTTGATAACAATAAGATGAAAATCATATCACATTGTTATATACAACTACTTAAAAACAGTTGGATGATGAAAAGAGTTTTTAGAAATTATTGGTGAAGAAGAGAGAATGAAATAGTGAAAAGCTGCATGGAGTAACTTAGACCAGTAATACAAGGTCTATGACAATCGTTTCTTAAATATGTAGGCTAAATTAAAAAAGACTAAATATGTCTATTTGACCCACTTGTTCTCTGGTTGGTGTACTTGGACACAATAAAAAATATATCTTAGTGATATTATCTTGTAATGACAGTTTTGGACAAACCAGGATCATCCCTTGATGTGTGGCTAAATTCTGCCACACAAAATTCACTGCATTTTCTCACTTACATCGTACTGCAAGTGCAGGTCAATAGTTAGACCCAACTGTAGGTAGTTAAACCTAAGAGCTCGTTCAAAATAAATGCGTTTTTATTTTACCACGTGAGATAAACTATATGAAAGAAGTAAAAGCTAATGAACAATTGTTCTACAAACTCATTTAATTGAAAGTTTGACAAGTATGAGTTACTTAAGGGAAATGGGAACAATGATTTGAAAAGTGTTTCTTACACTTTCCGTTTCCGTGATGAATAAATCATTAGAAGTCACTAAATAAAAAGTTATTTAAAAAAAACCGATCTTGAGTGAGATTAAACCGAAGCTGTTAAAATGGAAATATGAACTTGTTTAAAAGGTTTTACAGTTTAAAGAATGAGTGAAATTTTTTATAAACCCAGTCAAATGTTGATGGCCTACACTATGTCATATAATAATGTGAATTCTATATTTGAATAGGTTAAGCGTTCGCGGGTGAGACCGGGGGTGCTGGGTTTCAATCCTGCGAGTGGAATCGTGAATGAGCAGTGCTGAGGATTCCTATACTATGACGAAACAGCCTTTCGTATGCTTTTAGGGTTATTATGGCGGTCTAGCTTTAATTGACTATTAAATTTCTAAATTAATCAAAACTACGTCATATGTATCAAATTAATAAGTGGAAATGTGGAACATTGTACATTGACAGTTACCCGAGACAAAATTGACAGTAAACATATTATTATCAGAATGGGTTTTGTGGAGGTTTTTAGAAATTTCACTGGTTGAGATCATTAGTCAACTGAAGCTAGAACACCATGGAAAACCAGGACGAAACGGCCGTCCAGTGCTTACAGGTTTTCCATGGTGTTCTAGCTTCAATTGACTCATGATTTCAACCAGTGAAATAAACATATTATTGAAAAAAACATGTATGGAAGAGTAATTATCTTAATTTAGTGTACTTTATTTCTCTTTAAATTGATCATTTTGATTTAAGTTAAAGTTAGTTGCTTTCAACAATGTTTTCATAATGTTTTATTACATTATGCAATAGTCATTCATAATGAATAGAAATATAAACTTGTCAGTGTTACATCATATTACATAAAACAGTTCTTTCATTTCTATGTACCAATCTACATTATTCACCAGATATAAATGTAACATTACTCACCATATATATTTATAAAAATTGTTACATTCTTCAAAGCTTTCTCATTGGTTTTCTTCCATTTACATATCAGCCAATAGTAATTCAATGAGTTTTAACACTGATCTGATTGGTTTGTAAATATATTGGGGAAATATTAATCATTGATCAACAAATGTATCATTTCAGGCTAAATAAGTACAATGTATTACAAATATATACTGTTATGAATTGGTAATGATAATAATAATAATAAATTTACTTATGCATATAATACATGAATAGTACAAAACTTATTCTTTATCATCACAATTTAAAGTTTATTGAATGAATGTGAATATGGGTATTCCAATTGATCGATTTGTAAATCCAGTTGATGAAAATCTAATCTGTGGTATTTGTCATGGTGTATTTATTATACCTGTAGTAACAGAATGTGGTCATACATTTTGTGCTAATTGTTTAAAAATATGGTTAAATTCAAAATTGGAACATTTAAATCATTTAACAATAAGTGATAATGAACGAACACGTTTTCAATTTACATGTCCAACTTGTCGAACAAAATTAAATGTTAATAATTCACAACAAAATAATTCTATAAATTCAGTCGTAACTACAACAAACAATATAAATAATCATATTAATAATTATTGTTTTCATGATAAACCAAATATTAATTTATTATCAATAGCTAGACCAGTACTTGCATTAAAGAATTTTTTAAATTCTTTACAAATTTATTGTGAATATGCTAAACGTGGATGTACTACTATTGGCAGTGTAGAATTAATACATTTTGGTAATCATCGACATGTATGCGCTTATGTACCAGTTGATTGTGCTGGTTGTGGTAGAACATTAAATAGAATTGAATTAGCCGCTCATCAATTAGGTTGTTTTGGTATACAGGTAAGCATGATTTACAATCTTATTTTTCCCATAAATTGTACTATCAACCAATTGACACATTATTTAATGTTAATAGTTGGATTTCTGTGTCGATCTAAACTAGACCACCACTGAAAACCTGAAAGCATTGAACGTCTGTTTCATCCTAATATAGGACTCCTCAACTGTACGCATCCATATTATTTAGCGCTCTGATTTTGTTTTAACTTATTTTTGAGTAATATTTAACAAGAAAATTAACAATATGTATTTCAGTTTATTTGAAATTTAGCAAATGAATGACGAGAGTTGATTTGTTTCCTAATGTCTGAGTTTGATATCCAACAAAATTTATGATAGACACTGAAGTAATCAACAGAAATAACGATTTACTAAGTTCATTGGAAAAAAATATCTAAATAAAAACAGTAATAAAGGTTTACCTTCAATGTAAATTTTTATTTATGAGTATTTCTGCCTACAAGTATTCAACCTTAACTAGACCGCAAATTAAAAAGAATGTTAACTAGATTTGCATAAAATTAGTGTATTCACATGAATTCTCGAAATAGATACAATTCTAATTACTTAGTTGGAAACATTATCATTGATTTATCATAAGCCTTTAGAGTGTTTGTATGTAAAGAGAAAAAAAGACAACTCCAGATTTTTAATGATACAGATGGTTGGAAATCTATGATTACTATCCTGACAAATTTCATCTTATTAAGTTTTGAGCATATCGAAATATCGTCAATTATATATTGAAATACTTAAATTCAAAGAATAGACTAATCTGTGTGGTAATCTGGAACACATAAAGTTGAATTAATCCATTAGCTGAAATTGTATGTTATTTACTAATAAATATTTATAGTAATCCAATTTTTGTTTATTACTAATCAGAAAATTGGTTAGTTTCATTGTTTTTATCAATTCTAAACTGTTAGTTCTCTTTTATTTGACAGACTACACTGAAACCCATCAGATAACAGAATGGAGTCAACCATAAATGATACTCCAAATCTTTGTCGTATCGTGGTACTCTATGACTTGGTGTTGAGTATTATTTTATTTATGATCATTTGATTTTATCTGTAAAAGAATTGAAACGATTTTCGTCAGAACTGTAATAATCTCAGTGATATTATTATTATCTCAGTAAATGGGATTGAAAATTTAAGTAAATTTGAAAATGAACCTTAAAAGTTATGTTTGTTTTAAAGAAAAGATGAGAGATTAACATTTCAACATTTGCATATAGATTGTTTTCATTATTTTCGACATATACTTAAATAATTATGACTGAAATTAACATTAATATAAGTGACGTTTACAATGCTGTCTACATTTAAATACAATTCGCTGAAAGGAAATTTGTTACAAACAATAATAAAGTCAACAAGGAAGATGTTTATAGTTATTGTATTACTTCTGGATCTACTCACTTTTTCTGTTACGAAGCAACAGTAAAGTTGATTACAGTGACTATATGACCACACCTACAGTCAATTAAGAGAAACAAAAGCTGCTTTCAGCAGTAACCAATACTTTTCAATTTAAGGGTTCACATTTTTGGTTATCTTCTGTTTCTGGGAAACGGTATGACTGATCTAGTAGTAATTGAAAAGTGGCAGCATTTCTAATTATAGCATGAGTGGTGAAATAAGAATAGTAATAATAATAATAATAACAATAATAATTACAATAGTAATGATTCTAATTCATTTTTGTCTTGTTTATTTGAATCTTCCCGTTGATGTTTAGGACTGAAATTACCAGTCTCTTATTGTCATATATACATGCTGTGCTCATTGCCTTGATAGTGCCTTAGGTCACAAGTATTATAATCAGAGATGCATAGTGGTTAGCAGTGGAATCCAAGACGTCCATTTCGTCCTACTTGGGACTCGTCAGCCAAATGTACTCGCATCGCAGAGTTGATGTTCACTCTGGGACTCGAACTCAGTACCGTTCGCTTCAAACGCCATCGCATTAACTACTCAGCTACTGATAAGTTCTGGATTCGAATCCCGCGAGCGGAATCGTGGATGCGCACTACTGAGAAGTTCCAAACTAGAACGAAACGGCCGTTTAGCGCTTTCAGAGTTTCCATGATGGTCTAGCTTTAATTGACTCGTAATTTCCACTACTGAAATTACTATAATATTCACCAAAATCCCTTCTGATGCTATTTCCATATTTATTGATATTTCATTGTCTCAATATTCCGATAATTTAAAAAGAATTTTCAAACATTTCGGTTTTCTTTTTATTGTATAAACTATAATTTTAAATAGTCACAGTTGATTGATCACTGGGTGTTGATCAATGTCATGCTTGTCAAGTCCCTATTTAGTGCAGATGGAATGCTATCGACCATGTTGCAATGTGGCCACCAGTCTAGGTGACTCGACACTGCGTGCACTATATATTGAGATTAGATGATGGTTGGAGGTAGTCGACAGGAAACCTTGTACCCAGGAAGTCAGTCGCGGCCCGGATAGCTCAGTGGTAACGTCTCTGACTGTGAATCTGGGTGACACTGGATCGAATCGTCCAGGGAGCACCAGTGCCCTCAAAGATTACAGGTACACCCTGCTGAAGAGTACCAAGTAGCACGAAACCCGGGTCCAGGATTTCCTGTCGACTACCTGCAACCACCATTTAATCTCAATATAATTTTAGATAGTTTTTGATAACTTGGAATTGTTTCTTCAATAAAAATTTATCAAAATCAAGAATCAGCTGTTTTTCTTTTAAACAAAAAAAAAGAAAGTAGAAATACAAACTAAAATAGCAAGGGATTTATAGAAAAAATGTTGTTTTTCTTTTACTTCCTGAAATATATTTCTATATTCAATACATTACAATATACATAATATTATTGTTTTAATAAATATATAAATACAATTGATTTTAGCGCTTCAATCAGATTTAAAATTTTTGATTTACTTTTATTCTTATAAGAATTTCTTTTTCTTTTTTTGGAAGTCAAGGTCAGGATTGAATTGTGTGATAAAACAAGTACATTTCTATTTTTAAAAAAGTTACTTTATTCATTGAATAACGGATCTATTTTTTAATATATATATATTTTTATGAGATAAGTAAGAAATGGTATAAAGGGAATTTTAACCTTTTTATGATTTCTATAGTAACCTATGTGATAGAAGGAATAAAAATCATAACTAGAATATTATTTTTAAATCAGATTCTTACTGATTTAAATTTAATAATAAAAGTTCATTGAGAATTTGTTTAGGTTTATTCATTAAATTTTCTGTCTTTGAATATCAAGAAAGTTGTTAGAGTAGTAGGAGCAAAAACACTATCAGTAATATTGTAGTGAACAAGAACACAAGTGAGGAGAATCAAATGTATTTGAACACAAAATGACAGAACATTTTAGCAAAATCTGAGAACCATACAGTAAATACTTCATTTGCAAAATGTCAACCCATAGTCTTAGACTTTATTGTTCCTTCGTTTCCACATCAATCATTCCTTGTTCTCGTTCTCTTTTCGTAACCTTCTGTCTCCAAGCATTTCACTTTCGATTGATCATACATATTACTTATATCTGTCGACATCAGTAGCACACATCACAGTATTAGTGATAGTAGATATGACTATGTTTTCTAAACAATAATAAATCACCAAATCAATTGATGACGTAGTGAAACTTCATCAGTTGAAATGGTTAGGATACGTGTTACGTATACCCAACCACCGACTGCCCCGACGTGTGATGTTTTCTGGTGTAAGAGTAGGTTGGAAGAAATCTAGGGGTGGCCAGACCAAAACATGGCACAAATCCATGAAGTCACTGACAGGTGGACTGAGTCATGTCGGTAGATGTAGACTACCTGGTTGGGATTCGCGATATGATAACAACCGATGGTTAGAGACCTTGAATGACATGGCTCAAAATAATTTGCAATTCCGCAGGTGCATCCACTCTTTGTGTCTTCCCAAATTCTAATCTTCTGAATTACTTATGTCCCTTTTATTCTCTTTCCAAATTTATTTCATTAGATTATATTCCTTGAATGACATCTTCAAACCCTAATCTTTCGGATTACCGCTTATACTGTTACTACATCTACCACTACGGGATTTTAATCGACAATTGTATCTGTGTGCGAACGTGGTATGGCAACTCGATCTGATGTACGTACGTACGAAGTTCTACGTTGTTACTGACTGACTGGACCGATGCATATTTGTTGAAATAGAAGTCGGTATAGACATATTGAATTACGAACATATGTCATAGTATTACAAATTTCCTGGAGGGAATTAATGTGTGAACGATGTTATTCGTCGTTTAAGAGTATGATTTATCTAGCTTACTTTTAAGAAGGAAAAATGTTTTCGTTCAGTAGACCGTTTTACTTGCAACCTAAACTGTTAGTAGTCAAGTATAAAGAAAGTAGTTTAAAAATTTTAATATAAAGTATTCGAAACTGTGTGTGCAATAAAGGTGATGAGGATATTTATATGTTGAACTTAGATATATTTTAATTCAAGTTACAAATGTTGGCAATGTCTATGAAACTACGAAAGCCAGAGGGTACTGAACAACTCTTTTGTTCTAGCTTAAAAATTCTTATCACTCCTCATTGACCATTCCAAAAGGTGTATAATCCAGAGTCGGCTGGACCCATATTAGGCACGTTCTATTTAGAATATCAAATTATAATCCAGTGGTCAATACTTTTAATGTCACTTGTTTTGCAATGAAGTATAGACTTTGATCATTATTAACGGTCTGCATTGAAAATCAACTGATCTTTGAGAAATGTACAGCAACACTTCTGCTGAAAATTCTCATTTAAACATTTTATAGAAGGAATGAATTAAGCAAAGAGGTTTTTGTTCAGTTAGTTTTTCATCATGGCTTTATATAATAACATATAAGTGATTTGCAACAATGAAATAATACTCATTTGTTTAACTATATTTTTCAGGTATTTACTTTGGTTAGTGTAGTCTAATTTCCTTCAATTAGTCAAGAT